CTGAAATGCCATTTCCTGGACTTTGGGGAGAGATTTTTCAGAATTCTGATGGTCAGAAAACGACATTGTAACATATCAGAGGCCCTGGCCAATGTTTTTGCTCTATTGCCTAAGCCAGGGGGCCCCCATTGGGGTTGGGGCCCCCGGGTTCTCCCGGTCTGAGCCCATAGTAGTTACGCCACTGATGGTGTGACTTTAAGTGACTCGACCTTTGAGTGACTCGACTCGTGACTCGACCTGTAGGTGACTCGTTACATCACTGGAAAATTTTATTAAAAATATTAAAAAACTAAACAATAATACAATTAATCTACAATTAAAGGGGCAGTTGTACGTTTTTGGGCCGCCTTAATTTTCACACGAATAAAAAAAATTTTTCGTCATTTTACAGGTAACTTATACAGGTGATTATCATATTATGGCAGGTGGTTTCTAAATAAACAACATAAATTATTATGAGTTGCACAAGAACGTACAAAATACTCACAAATACATAAAAAAGTCGAACAATGCATGATAGTGGGCTTGTACAAGACTTTTGCCCTACGTAAAACGAAACAATTAAGACATACAAAAACGTTACGTTTTTGCCCGTAGATTTTATGTTATGAAAGTAAACAATTCATAAACATCAAATTAAATGTGAAACATGAAAACATTGAAACATTGCATGAAACATTGACATGAATCATACATTAAATCAAACATTAACACAAGGCGTTCCCACAAAAATCATTTTCAATTCTCCGAGAATTAGAGAAATGGTGATAAACTCTTTTATATTTTGGAGTTGTGTGAACACCTTGAGTTGCCGACATGACTAATGCTTATATATATATATATTGGCATTGCTAACACAATCTTTAAAAAACTGACAATATTGGCATTAGTACTATACTATACCCATTTAAAAGGTAAAATGTTATAGACTACACATGACCAAAAGGACGAGAAATCGACTTGGGGGTATGGCTAGTGTTAGGTGAACCGGCGAAAATAAAGGATTTATTTCAGCGCTTGTGATTGATGCGCAAATTTGCAATCTGAGAAAAGATGCGATAACAGTCGTTTTAGACTATTTAGTTGATCTAAAAATATTTAATGAAATACTACTACGCATTTACAATCGAAAGTGTCGAGTAAACGATGCCTGACCGTGTCTACATGTCTATGTCCAGTGTCTTTGAACTTAAAGTTTGGGTAACTGAGTTTTAAACCTATTTTATTGAAGCGAGTGCATCTGTCTGCACTTGCAGAATCACTTTCAGTTCTATATATTGCTTTATTTCAGTTTCTAAGATGTTCTATGAGTAGTCCGACCATGTCTACGTCCTTATCTACTATAATTAAAGTTTAGGTAATCCTATTACATGCATGGAAGCGAGTGCCTGTCCACTGTGCTCTTTAAATCAGTTTCAGTTCTTATTGATTTACTTCAAGGTTTGTGTCATTGCCATTGGTTGACCATGCACTTGCCCCTGGTGGGTACACTGTGCCTTGAGGTTGATATTGTGGTGGGGGTTGGTTGGGATATGGTTGAGGGTTTTGAAAATACATTGGTTGTCCTTGTTGTGCAGGGTATTGTCGTTGTTGCTGGGTTGCAAAGACTGTAGTTCCTGTAGTTGTAGGTTGTGTTACTACAACACCACCATGAGCAGGACGTCTTGAGACTGCTGCCGCACCAGCCGCACAAAAACAGCAAAACACGACAACTGCAATAGGTATGACAATAACAATAATGACACTGATAACAATCACTGCTACAATCCAACCAGCTAGACCTTCAATCACATCGCAGTCTCCTGTATTACATTTGCCATCAGAGTCACAACATTCTCCAGTAGCACAGTTGCCATCAAAGGTACACGATTTTCCAACACAGGTTGTGGCACATTTCTCATCAGAATCACAACAAGATTCACCCGGGGCACAGTCGTTATTGAAGATACAAGACTGACCAATGCAACTGTACCGACATACATTGTCTTCAGGATACTTTCTGTCGCAGCAATACTTTAAGCCCGAACAATGAAAGTGAGAAGAGCACTCATTCGCTTCTACTTGGGAAAATACGACGTAAAGAACAAGAAATAAAACGCAGAAAACCGTAGTTTTTCTTATACACGCCATTGTATATGCACTGCAAAGTTTGTGAGGAATTAAGGAAATTTGAAATTAAAATGACTTGTTGGTACAGCAGCTGTTGATACCATTAACGTACCTGCTGCTTCGTTTCTGATTCGTCGTTGCATCATGTGGTCAAGCAGGATTTAAATATTTTAATATCGTTTAGTCAATTTACTCTATTCTAATTGGTTAAAGATTGTGCCATTAAATATTGATCGGCACAATCGTGTCAATTAAAAATTGATCAACACGCTACTGAGCCCGCTGGAATTCTATTTATATAATAACCCTAAGAATTCATGCGCTTTCATCGGTCGCGCGAGAGCAGTGGTGGCTTTCAGCAATTTTGATTTTCACTAAATTCCGAAAATTGAAAACAGAATTTTGTAGAACTTTCAGGATTTCACTTCTCTACTCCGGTTGATTAGCGCGAATTTCCAACCTTTTTTCATGTTATGAAATGTTTTGCCACAACGTGAGAAAACATACCCTTTTAGAAAAAATACCCCAAGTATTTTTAACCTTTCCATCACTTGCTCGCTGTTTCAATATTCCCACCTTTTTTGACGTTGTCTATTTTTTTATGAAAAGTGGAAATTTCCCTTTTGAAATTGAACCATTTAACGCCATGCAGTAATCACGCGTGGCCACACACACTGGCCTTACACCCAGATTGCCCCTCCCATCAAGTGATCAGACGTTTGGGAATTGATTGGTTAATTTATAGAAACGTTTTGCGCCAAAATTCATTGCTGTGAGTAAATAATGGCACTATTAAATTAAAACAATATAGAGTACGGTACTTATAGAAGAAAATATTGGGCAAATACGACAGTGGGGTTAAACATAATTATACTCATTGTACGATAAGTAATATTTTTAAAGGAAAATTTCCCAAAGGTCACAAGGGGTTTTTCTGTGAATGATTTCTTCCAAAAACTAATTATTTGATCGTTGGCTCTGAATCTTGGCCTTTCTATAGGTGTCATCGTTGTCGAAGAGGCTCGACTTAGCGGAGGGTTAAGTGATGCCCGTGCGAAAGAGGATGACGGTTGATAGGAAATAGACAAACCAATTAGTGGCCGCGATAAACCGCTGTTAACTGGCATTGGTGGTTTGCAATTGTTATTAAGGGCTCTCCGTTAAAACTACTCGAAATTTTCAATTTCAAAGAATCTATTTTCCGAGGGCAGAATTATTTTTCCTTCTTCCTTCTTTTAAACACAGACTTTTACTTTGTTTACAATATTTATATCAGTGAAAAATGCCTGACACAATTAAATGGGTAGAGAATATATTCGTGACTTGTTTTCACTGTTGCAGTTAAGGAGGCTCCCTACAGTTTCCAACTCCCTACAGTTTCCAATATATGTCAATGTTTTAAACTAAAGGCTATATGAATCTAAAAAAACTAATTTTTTGCACAACCCATTGTTTCCTCCTATATAAAAGAGTGATTTTAACCTACATTCGCTACTCTTCACGTTACCATGACAACATGACGTCACCATCTATATGGCCTATATCAACCAAAAAAAGCCGTCTTAGCGGACAAATAACAATGGTGGCCTACCTTTTTTATTGCAGAAAATACATTGTTATGAAGTTTTGAATTTTTTTTTCGAGAAACTGAATTTCAGTCTTTAAGATTGCATTTTAGCCTTTGGAAAGGCTGAAATTCAGTTTCTCGAGAACTACACTGGCGATTTTCCTATTGCGCGAATTTCAATACATGTATTTTAATATGGTCAAACCTTTAACCTTGCCCTTGTTTATATTGTATTGTGAACTAAATGTTATTGTATTAGGCAAATGAGAACCATACAATAAATCAAAATAAACTGTCGAACCTTTAACTTGTCCTTGCTTATATTCCACTATATTGTACAAATTCGCGTCGGGTCCAAATTTTAGGGTTTTCGAGTCGTTTAATACAACATATTGACTGTATAAATCCGCCGGGTCGGCCAAATTTTGGCAGCCAAATTTTAGAGTCGTTTAATACAAAAAAACATTAATTCAACACGCAAGAAAGTCCAGAGTGCGACAAAAAATGAACACAACTACATCACGGATGTTTATGACTCTACAACGTATATTTATAGACAGTTGTTTATTAGTTAAAAAGTCAAACTTTCGAACCTTTAACTTGTCCTTTGTAAAATTCGCTGGGTCCAAATTTTAGGGTTTTCGAGTCGTTACATGAAGAAAAACATATTATTTCAACACGCAAGAAAGTTCAGAGTGCGACACAACGTAAAATCCATAGGAAACCGGTACAACTCTTTGAAAATTCAACGAAACTGTGTGAAATATATTCTGATCACTCAGCCAAAAGGCGCCATTTTGAAACTGGACTGAATATGTCACCATTGGAGTTCGGAATTGTGCGCGTGCGTATAAGTCCATATAAGTCTATATATGGGCTAATAAACGAAAAATGCACCACAAGCATGGCATGAGCCGGCTAATACGTACATAAATACAAGCTTCTTACTATTATACATGAATCGTGGGAGTCGAAGAATCGATGGCATTTTGGATTAATCGTTGCACCCTGAGCCTGCGATGCGCGAACGCAAACTCGATTTCTCGACGACGAAAAAAACAGAAGAAAACAGAAAACTAGGGATTTAAGACACTTGACCTTTCAAGTCAGTGTAATAAATATAAATATATAATTTGGCGCCACTTCAGAGCTAAGCTGTGATTGGCTAACGCTCGGGAATGCAATGTTGTGTGCAAACTGTGATTAAGTAAACCATAGATATCGAAGGGAAGATGCTGTAAAACAATATAACTCATTATCTATGTTAGTCAACTCTTATTCATAAATCTGGTCCTTCACCGTCACGTGTGTATTGTATTTTTGTCAAATCCATCAATAGTGATTTCCAATTTCCCTATTGTTCGAGTCACGGATAGGTAACTTTCCTAAAACATTGTTATTGGTTAGTTGGACAAAAATACAATACGCACGTGACGTGAAGGACCTGATTTATGAATAAACATTGACTAACATACATGAGTTATATTGTTATTCTAATAAGTTTCACAGCCATCTT